TTCTTGTCTATAGCTTTTATCAAATAATAACAAGCAACAAAATTAAATCTAAATTACCTGTTAATCCAATATGTTTTATATATATACATTAAAACCCAAAAAAACTCTAAAAAATGTTGCTACTGATTGTTTTAATTAATTGCAAATAAGGAAGTTTTATATAGGTGAGGTTCAACATATATGTTTATAGATATGCAGGCTTGGCCGCCAAATGAGGATTCTTTTATTTTTGATCTGTATTTTTTTCTCTCTCTTAGAATATCAGACGGCTGCAGTAGCTCAGCCTTGGCCAGTTGGTTGTGCCTGATTGTGGGCTTTATAAAGGGACGATGGCAATGCAATGTCTATAGAGCGGAGCAAGTTAAATTAGTTTATTTATGCTTTGTTGGCCGTGGACTTTTGGCGCAGTGCGGTGCGGTGCACAGTTTTGGGGTAATTTCTTTTAATAATTTGTACTGGCTGATAACTTGGGCAAAGTTTGTGTGTGTTTCTGTGAGCTATCTGGGCGCAATGCTTAGCTGTGCGAGGGCATGCAGCAAGTTTTGCTGATTGAGTTGCCTTTCCACGAGTTTGGCTTTAAGTTGTCAGCGGCGATCTTTGCAAGTGGCTTAGACGAAACATAAAAGACAAGCAAACAATGCGTAAAATGTTTGCGAAAACCCAAAAGGGAATTAATTACAGTCAACGGCCATGCAAAGAGGCAACCCGAATCCTTTTTCTTGTGCTTATTTACTTGCATCTTGCTTTGTAGCCAGGGAACGAGGTTTATCTGCTTTAATGTGCCGTCCCATTTCCGGTTGTCTGGACTCCGGCCTGCCGACAGACAACGCGCAAAAAGTTGCCACGAATATTTACATAAGAATTTTTTCATATAGCGCACTCTCAACTTTTATTCTTTGTTATACCCTTTCCAAATGCACATGGCAACTTGAAGCAAACACGTCTAGCATATTATTGTAATGAACAATACATCAAATATAGATTTCAATTTTAAAATTACATTTCTTTGGCTTAAATAAGGCAATTGGAAAATCTATACAACAACTGATCAAGAGAGACAGTAAAAATATAACCTGACGAATTACTATGGGATCATCCCACGTGGCCTGATCCTTACGAATCTCTTTGTTAGAGTCCGATTTTGATTGGAGCAGCAGGTTTTGTGCGAATGTGGACAAGAGTTTTCTTCACTTTGCATCTGTAGCTGGCATTGAGTAAAGGAACTTCACTCAGGACTAAGGCTTCAATAGAATGAACTTACATCGGCAGTTCAGACGAGTTGAAGTGGGATTCAAAAATGGAGTTCCTTTTACCAGATAGTTGGCTTTGGCAAAGGAGACCCACATGATCATAAACTGGATTTCCTTTCTATGAGATTTTTGCTTTTTTGTGTTAGGAAGGCTTCAAAGTTTCACACTGTTTTATTATTAATATTATTATTATTACTTTAATTAATATTATTATTATTATTTATGTTATTATTATTTATGATGATTTTAAAAAACTGCTTGCACGAATTAAAATGAGAACCAAGAACGCAATTTCATTTTTCTGTGATTGTTTGGCTAGAGCTTCCAACATTCAGGCCGTATTATTATTATTATGATTATTATTTCTTAAATTAGTTTTACAAACATCTCTTTGTATTGTTTACCTCTCCGATGCTCTGCTTGTTTAACTGAACCTATATTACAACAAATGCTTAAATCTAGCAACACCGCATATTTGGGAAACTTATGTTACTATCGTAGCTTTGTTTATTAAATATAATTGCTTGATTGCAAATAAAATGAAATTCGGTTTCCTCTACTAGCCGGACTAGCACAGAAAACAGAAAAACGAATTTCAGTTTATTTGCAACCCTTTAACAATTTATTCAATAAACCAGTTTACCGTTGTAAAAGTTTATTAAAATAAAATCAGAAGAGATTTTGACTGCTTCAAGAATTTTTATGAAAATGTTTTGCCAAACGGTTTTGCTCCATGCTTGGTTTTTTTTGTTTCGTTTAAGCTCAAAGCCTACTCTTATTAAAGTGTTAAATATATACAAAAATATGTTATTTTTTGTGTGTCTCGATGTTTGAAGCCTTGCGTATCCCAGATTCGTAGATACCCTATGAGTAAAAAAATATGTAGAGGCTTGTTTGCACTTGACTTGCGTAAGGGTGTGCAGGCGTCGACTTGTTGCAATACGCATTTGTTACATTTTATTGTAATCTGTTTTAACATTTTTGCCCGTTGTTTAATTTAGCGGATGCCGTGAAATTTTTTTGCTGCGGCTTTAAGACAAAACTTCAACGGGCGTAACAAATTTGTGCTGCCTACTTGCAGGCGCTGGCATAGATGACTTGCCCCTGATATATCACTCAACGGGGGCAGGGCCACCTGTAAAAGTGACTGAGACATGGCCATGGCCAAGTGACAAATTGGCCACATCAATTACAGAAATTTATTTTGCTGCTTTGTTTGCATTGCAGACGTCTCCGACGCCCGCAAACGCCCCAAAGCCGCCTACAAACTCATTTGTTCTACTTAATTTGGGTTCGCTATGTTCCGCTCTCTCTCTCTCTCTCTCCCTCTCCCTCTTTCCGTTACTCTCTCGCTCTCTTTTGCTCTGGCATGTTGTCGATGTGTGCGGCGAGTCGTGTGCATGAAAAGGGGCAACGAAATGCGCATTTGGCATTGTTTTCAGTCTCGGTCAAGTGCGGAGTCCTCCGCCCCTGTAGGTGCGGGGGGGCCTGCGGGGCATGTGGCTGAGTTTTTTCGACAGGGAGGGGGGGGTGGGGTGTTGAACCAAATGAGTTTTATGATGAGCTGCTGCGGCTCCTCAGCTCGTCCGCTGCTTTTACTGATGCTGCTGTTGTTGATTTACGTTTGTTTTGTTTGCTCGCAAAATGCTTAGAAAGCAACATCAACTAACAGTTTTCCACACTAACACACACACACACATACACATATATGTGTCTGCATACACATACATCTACATGCGAGTATATATGTGGTGTCTGCTTGGCTAGCGATAAAAACTCGAATTTTCGTACTGAAAACAAAAGTTTTGCATTTGATTTATGTGCACATCGGTTTAACTTTGTATGTAGCGTGAAATAGTTGAGGCTAAAAGTAGATATTGTGAAAATGTTCAGAGCACTGTTGAGGGGTAGAGAGAGAGGGGGGGGGGGGGTGAGAATATTCACTGCAAAGTTGGTTAACTGGGCAGTTCATAAATTCTAATCATTATAAATGCTAAGCCAAAAACCGTTGGGCGAGCAGGAAGGGGAAAGTGTGTTATAATTATAAGGATTATTACGGATTCTGATTAAGGTTAGCTATCGGACTGACATTAAAGCACAAAAAGCCGATTATAGCATGGAAAAGGATAAACCACTGTGGCCCATAAAAAGAACAGAGATTTTATAAATAATTTAGCCTAAATATATAACATTAAAAGTTAACTGTCTATAAGCCAATATATGATTATATTTAGATAGAGACATGGCTTAAGTTCGAAATATAACTCAATATAACGATTAAAATGAATTTGAAATTATGAATATTTTGAATAAATTCTAAAAAATGTGAAATAGTCGCGTTTTCTATCCTCGGATATGTGTGATTTAATAAGTGCAACATTAGCAGATTCTCATCTAGTCTGTAAAATCTTTTTGTAATTTATCAATTTAAGCAATGGGAATTATATAACTGAAGTGTGTTTTTGGCTAAGCTGAAAAGTGTTTAACCAGTCGACTTTTTCACATTCGTCTAGTCAAGGTATCTTCTAGTCGGATATTTTCTTGACAAGGGCACTCTAACTTGTTATCTCTTCAAGCAGCTGGGCAAGAATATTCCTCTTCAAGTTTGTTTACAATTTAATGCTGGACATCTTTAAATGTTTTTGCCTCATTAACTTGCCACAGTCTTTCATGTTTCTATACCCATCACACACATCAACACACACACACACACATTCTCATCGACAACAATTTCAATTTCATGTGATGCGTTCCCCCGTTGTCCAACTGACATCATAATAACATGGCAAATGTCTTCATCAGAAATCAGCTGACCAATCGGAGCATAAGTGGCATTCAATCATTGTCACTGGCAATGATGATAACATCCCCCTTGTTTAAGGAGGGGGAAATTCTACAGCATTTTGTATAGTATCTAGGGTAGGCAAGATGGTGGGGTGAGGTTTAAGAGAAGAAAGAGAAGAGAAATCGGTGCTTCAACAAGAAAGTGCCAAAAGTAAACGAAAGAGTTAAGTATGGTTTTTTATTATGAGCATGAATGTTATATATATGGCATATATATATTCGATATTCTAGAATGATTAAAAATTCTTTTCCTTTTACATCGCGAGACGATTTTAAATCATATTCCCTGGATGAATCCTGTCTAGCTCGACTTCCTAACATACATACATACATCCAATGTTTATTTGGGCTTAGTTAATGTTGTTTTATTTTGTATTTTAATTTTATTTGATTTGTTTAACTTGGCACATGTGAAATCGAGACACTCGCATTATTCATACGAGCTGCCCCGTGTTGGGCTACAGCGAAATATCAATTTACGGCTCATGAATTTCGTTTGAAATAATCGACTGCATGCGCATTCGAGTCCCAGTCCGAGTCCGACCAGGGGACTACTTCAAACAATTGCGCCGCAATGTATGCTATACAATTTGTGGTACGACCAGAACACGCATGAAGTTTTCGGTTTGCCAAGCTATTTTTATGGCGCCGGCAACATTTGCCGATACGGTTTTGGCCGATTGCCGTATTGCCAATTGGCGATTGAACTGAACTGAACTGAACTGAAATTGTTTGCGTGCGGTTCATTGAGGCACATCCATCAGATACAACCGCACAGAGATCGGAATGTTAAAATGCATTATGTTGGCGAGTGTATGTGTGTGCTTGTGTGTGTGTGCGTGTGATTGCATTTGCGTGTGTTTTTATGGCCACTCAACAAGCTGCTGGCTGTTTGGCTTAGCTCAGCTCAGCTGAGCTCAGATCAACGCAGCTCTCAGCTTATCTATGGAAAACGTATATATTTAAGTAGGTATCGATTTTGGCAACGGCCGCAGCCAAAGCTAATGCCTCGTTGCAGCCGCCTTGGTCAACCCCATCAACAAGTCTCTCAGTGCTCGCTGGAGTCGGTATTGTTCCCAACCCTTTGTTTACCCTCTCGCCTTGGCTAAGCGCTTGAATCAAAAATCGTTCGGGTCGGGTCCGCTGCGCATTCACTTGGAATGCGAGTGAGACATTGAGACTTTGTCATCGTCATCGTTTTATGCAAATATTACTCGCACATGCCGTTTCTCGTTTCTCGTTATTCCGCATTTCTTTTTTAATAAAACAGTAAAAAGAAAATATATTTTACACTGAAACTTGAATACACTTACTTGAATTGAAATTCTTTAAAATGTTCTTAATTTTTTTTTTAATTTTCCTGTTTATATGAAAATTAACAATACTACTTAGTCTACTATTAAGTCTTAGATGGGATGAGACCTCCGCAATCTCCTCCGCGTTCGGTATTATCCAATTCTACGCCTCTTTAGAAGGCGCCTAGCCAGACTTTGAATAGATGCAAAAATTATAAAACTTTTGGACATAAATTTAGATTTAACTATGAGATTAAGAAAATCATTTGCCTAAAAATTATCATAAATGGCAGTACAGTCATTTTCTAATATTTGTTTAATAAAAAAAACGTAAATTCATAATATTTGATTTAAAATCAATTGACTTATATCTATTTAAAAGATTATAACTCATTGCATGAGTACAATTTAAACAAAATGCATTTGGCTTTGAAAACAAACTTAGCTGTAATTAAAATTTAGTTTGTCTTTGCCCGAAAGGGTGTCGAATCGCCAGGTTTGCAATTGTTTTGAGTGTCAGCTTTAAGCCCGAAGCAAGTGCATGATGTGAGTACGCCCCTTTTTTTTTTGTTTGAGTGCACGCCCTTCACTTAGAATATGATTCGTATATGTACTCACATTTCCAGGGAATTTTCATGCGTCTGTAAGCTGACGATCTAATGATGTGTAAATGCTTTGCTCTTGTTTAACAGAGGGTTGAATTTCTTCGGACTAATTTAAGAAAAATGTATTTTTGATTGCATGATTTCTGATGTTTTTGTTGTTATTGCTGCACTCCCTTTTGCTGTAATTTATAAAGCTATGCCTCAACTGCGTACATGTAATGGCTGCCCGGCAAAATGAATACTTTCACATTCGAGTAAACAAAACAAAATAAAGAAATTTGGCTGAGTAGGTAATAACTTAGTATAAACGTCTTCTTGGGCCTAAACAAATATTGTGGCATGTAGTTGGCGACTTAAATAAATTAGCTTTGATTATGGCCAAGGCCAATTGGCCGCCCACAGCCTTTGCCTCTGCCCTTGCCTCTGCCTCTGCCTTTGGCTCTTGGCGTGCTTCCACATAGCCTCGAGCCAGCAACATTATCCTGAAGATTGAAATACTTATATAGAGCAAATGCTTAATTATATTGTTGGCCGTCGATGACGCAAAAGGCAGAGCCAAAAACAGAAAGCACGCAATAAGCATATAAATTTTTCATATACCCTGTAGCCATTGAAAATGGGAAAACAAAAGAGTCTAATAAATTCAAGTGTATATTACTAGGGAATGGCATTATACACATGACCTGAAAGTTTTCTGGACGAGCTTGTTTCATCACTTTTTATAAAAATATAATATAATATATATATAAAAATAAATATATCATAGGATATACGGGTAGATACTTTCAAGTGAGATACTTTCAAGTGAGGATTTAAGAGTTCGATAACTCCCCCGGTTCTTTAATAATCGATAATTATCGAAGTTGCATGGTGGTTCCCAATATTTGATGTTTTCTTCGTGTGTGAACATTTATAATTAATTCCAATAAAGATTAAAAAGCTGAACGATTCTCTTTTACGGACAAATATATATATACATATACCTATACCCTATATATATATATATATATAGCCTCCGTTCCATTGTAAATATATTGAGTTGCCTTTAAATCTACCATTAATATAAATACTGTATGCAAAGAAATTTTATTTTTTATTGTTTTATGCGTTTCATTAACTTTTTCTTATCTTTTCTTTGTCGAATTATCCGGCTTTTGTTTTGTGTCGTAATTTTATTATAAGTATATATTTTTTTTGTTTTTTCTTTGGCAATTTTTTCTGCATTTTGTTTCAGTTTCCGTTTTTGTTTATCTTTGCAGTTGCCTGTCCTCTTGACACTTTGATTTGTTGTTTGACTTTGCTTTATGTTTCAATTTTCCACTTTCATTTTCCTAATCTTTTCCATTTCCCGTCTATTTCTGTCTCTTACCATAGGTCCTCTGTCCGCCGGGGTCCTGCAAGCGTGCTATAAAACCAAAATAGCCCACTCAAAAACCCGTACACCTTACACACACTCTCTCTCACACACACACACACACACACACATATAAAGCTCTGAGTGCTCGCATCTTGAAAAAAGGCACAACCCAAAATCCAACGCCAAAGTGGACAGTGTCCGTGTCCGTCTCCCTGGTTCCTGCCCCAACCCGAGGCCAGACGAAATCTCGGAGCTGGCCAAACAGAGAATATGTTGTCTCCAGCTCCGCAGTTGTATTTGGGCTTGACTTTTAGTTTGCTTAGCGAACTTCTTCGTTTTTGTTTTCACGGCTTGTTTATTTTTGCTAACACTTATCAAAATATTGACGATACACATATTGTTTTGCGTTGACTTCATGGGGCATAAAGATATCGGGGTCCTCGCCGAAAAACAAAGCGAAAGCAAAAGATAAACAAAATCACGTGGCCATATACTCTGGAATTTTTACAGCATATGTGCGTGTGTGTGTGTGTGTGTGTGCGTTTTTTCTGTATGTGTCGTAACTTTCACTTTGTTGTCAGAGTTTTCCATGCTTTTCCTATCCCTATCCCTATCCCAATCGGCTACCCTATCCGCACTTTATTTGCCCCATTGCTGCTTAAGTTACTTTTTGCGCCACGCTTGAATTTCTTTGCCCCATTCGAACTTGGTTTGTTCTGTCTTTTGGCTTTTTTTTTGCCCACTGCCAAAGCAATGCTGAGCTAAGCAGCTCATTTTCAATCGAGCATGTGCGTTCTTGGCTCTGCGATTGTGATTTTTCTATCTATCTGGCTTACGCTGGATTTCGCCCTCGCTGTTTGCGTTTGCTTTGTTTTTCGTCTGTTATTTTCATAAATAAATTTGCATGTGAAATGACATTGTTTATGGCATTCCTATATGAGGAACGCATGCTCTCTCATATTTCTGTGACTCGACCCGGCCAGCGTCTTTCTTGTCACACGTTGTTGACAGCTTTGTTAAAATATGTTTACATGCTCAAATTAGTCTCAGGCTCAGTTGCAATCTCTTTGACATCCGGTTTCTATCGTCTGTTTGTCTGTGTCTGTGTCTCTGTCTGTTTGTCAAAAGTTGACATCCGAAATGAATTCGTAATTGAGTTTGGTCCGCTGTTCTCTGTTCCATTTCATTTCGAGGCAACATCTCTCATTGTAATTCTCACACGATTCGAATTTAATATTATCAGCCTAATTCGCATTTATGTTACATATGTACTCGCATATGTATAACATGCTATTATTATTTTTTCTTGAATATACATATGCATATCAAGCCTTCTGTGCCTGCCCCCCTCTCAGCCTGATAGCCTGGCGCCATGGAGGCGACTTATTTGTCCCAGAATTACTTATGCTCTGATGTGCGCTGCTCTACTCGGCGCTGCTCCGCTCTGCTGTGCTGTAATTATTTCAACATTCTCATCACATTTGGGTGGAAAAGAGGCCATAATTATTGAAAACAAGCCAAGCGCAGCACATTTGTTGCCTGGCTCTGGCGCAGCTCCCCCTCAGCGCCAATAAAATCATTTGCTGATTAGCGACTTCTGCGTAACACATGCCATGGAGTTTCCTTATCGGAGCAAACACAACAAATTTATAAAAGTGGATAAATATGTATTCTAGTGGCTAAACGAGAATTGCTCATACGCCATGTGAGCCGGCGGATGCGAAAATTCTGTCACATCTTTGCTGTTGTATTCGTTCTTTATTTATTTTCGTTGTCGTTGCTTTTGCTAAGTATTTTGATAAGGACGCCGCCAGAACATTTTTTGCCAGATTAAATGTGACTCTTCACGAGCTGCTAATGTTCTTAAAGGGATTAAAGTCAAGTATTTACGAGAAATATCCTAAGCAGGCGACTGTGATCAATATTCTCAGGATATGCATAGGACCAATTTGGTATATCTGAAAAAAATGTTTATTTTTTCTATAAAATATTTCTTAAAAACTCGTAACTAATAAATGTGCACACTCCTATAAGAATCGTGGGCAATGAGATGCACTGTGCCTAAAGATACATTTTGCGGTTTCCTTATTATTCTAAGCAATGCGTGAGTGCGAGACACACTCTGCACATGGAGAGATCCATCCATCTCGGGGTTTTATGAGTATTCAAATACAATTTAAATTCAAAGAAAATGAGCCGCAGTAACTTTGTACTCTGAGCTTTTCAGGCTCGGCGATTGGCTCACACTCTCAGAGACTTTACACTCGGATCCAACCATATATAATAGTTTTGTACTAATTTGCTAATTTGTGCTAATTTTCTCTACTAAAACCCTTCTTCTTAGCCGTCGGCTCTAATAGCGTCAGTGACAAAATTATCTGTGAAAATGGGGAATACTTGGACGGACGGGCAAATAAAACATCTCCATCGATCGGTTATGCTATTAGAAAATTGTGTATTCTAATTAGGCTTTTAGCATTTAATAGTAACAGTAATGTATTTAATGTTTTAGCGACGATTAATAAATAAAAAAATATACATGCAGGAGGAAGCAGCAGCAGCAGAGATATTCTGGGTCAGCATCAATAGTCGAGTGGATCTAGGCATGTCCGACTGTCTGTCCTTCTGATCGTTTGTCCGTATGTATAAACGCGTCGATCTGAACGGAGGTTCTTTTAATGCTCGCACAGTTCAAGCTTGTTTCCAATAATCGATTATTATCTTTTATTTAAGGCTAAAATATCAAAAAGCTTAAATAATTGGAACTAACCACCGAGTTATGCCACACTTTTAAAGTCTGATTCTTCTGGTCTGGTCTTTTCGCGAATATATAAATATTGTATAGCACAGTAGAAACTTCTGCAGAAAATATCATCAAGATCGCTGGAAAAACACCGAACTTATTAAAGAAAATGCAAACGCACATTCGTGTGTTCTTTTTCGAATTCCATAAGCAGAATTGCAATTGCGATTGTGTTCTAGGTTGTTCAGGTATTTTCATTAATGTCAACTTTTAATATGGCTTATGGCAATTAGGTTCTTTAAAGTTTGCCACCAACAGAAGGAATTTGCTTTTTTTAAATTTATTTTTTTTTTTTGTTGGTATATTCCTTTAAGTATTAAATGGGTAAACAAAATTGTTAATCTGGGGCTAACGAGCGCATAGCAATAGCTGCATTTGGTGTTGGGAGAAGAAGGTTGAGGGTATCCCCTAGTCGGACCTATTTTCTGTTGTTTATTTACGTTTAATGTGGAACCACAGTTCGACCTGAATATCCCGCCTATTGACGAGCAGTGAAATCCAGCCAAATGCCCCCTTTGAGGGAAGAAATCATTCCAAATGGATCGTACATGTTATCGTTGCGAGTCTTTGGATTGACTTTTACATCAAAGTTGTTTATAATTTCGACGAGGGCTGCCTTAATCTGTGCCAGAGCAAAGCGCATACCTGCAGGACATCAAGTTGTGTGAGCATTGGCATAATTAGGATTGGGTCAATTGTTATTTAATGTACCTATGCAGATGCGAGGACCATTGCCGAATGCCATGAAGACGCCGCGATCGCGATACATTTTAATCGCATTGGGCTCCAGAAAGCGTTCGGGTTGATACTCCTGGGCATTGGGGAAGTAATCATCGTCTTGCATAAAGCAGGAATGTGGTACAAGGACTGTGGTGCCCTTCTCTATGGTGAAGTTAGGTCCGTTTCGATTGGACACCTCGATGTTTCGAGTACACAGTTTGTTGGATATCGGCAGCGGGGGGAAGAGTCGAAGGGTCTCTGTAAAGGTAAATCTGAGTTCTTTTACAACATTGAAGTGCTCCAATATTTACCATGCACACAGGCATCCAGGTAGGGTAGCTCGATAAGTTTATCGAAAGCAACAAAGCCCTCATCGTTCAGATGTGCCTGCAGCTCCTCGCGCAGCCGCTGCTGCGCCTTGGCATTCCGTCCCAGAAGCAGCAGAGTATGGGCCAGAACAGAGGCCGTTGTCTCAAAGCCGTCCAGCAGGAAGGTCATCGACATTACAGTTATCTGTCGTGTGCTTAGGTTCCGCTTTTTGGCCAACTGCAGAATGTAGTCCAGAAAGTCGACGCGATCCGTTTGCAGTCCAGCTGCCTGTTGGGCATGGCGCGTATCAATCGCCACCTGCATGAAGTCCACGAAGAATGCCTCGACGTGTTTGGGCACAACACGTAGCTTTTTGATTTTACTCAATGAGGGTATCAAGGCTATTGCAACCATGTTGAGCACAAGGGCCCAGGACGTTTGGAACATAGCCTTTATTTTACCCATCACGGGCGTCGGATTGTCGGTAAAGCTCTGGGCGCTGAGGCCGAGCACGCAGTCGGTGACCATTTCGGTGGTGAAGCAGAGGCTGATCTGTAAGATCTTTGTTTAGTTGAATTTCTGATATTTACACCATTTACCACTCACATCCTGGCCGTTCAAGCCATCCGGTGCTCCAATGCGGATTTGTTTGCGAATGAATTCGTTCATCTTCTTGCACACCTGATTGGTCACTGGGTAAACCGATTTAATCTGTGGATATATATCATTAAATTAAATGATATTAATGCAGAACTCACATGGCTTACGCGACTTATGGTTAGTCCGGGCGTTATATCGGCGCGGCGCCCTTTCCAAATGTCACCGGCGAGCATGAATATATTGCTACCAACTATAAAGTCGGACTTCTCATCTACCAGGCTGGCCAGCTGGTTGTCGTGGAAATGCTTAAAGTCCGAAACGAATACACGATGCGCCAGCTCCGGGCTTACAACCAACAGTTGAGGAGAACGTGACATATAAATGCCAACTGCATCATATTGTTGCTTGTATTTACTGCAAAAGGGAGAGAGGGAAATGGGAAGGAAGAATATTATTTAAAGTTCCTATGAGATATAGAAACACAACAATTACCTATATATCGCATTAATATCTTGTACAGCGTGTTGCTTCATGTTGATCATGTTGGGATAGTTTCCGATAAGTATTGCCGGCCTGGGACCAGGCACATTCCGCTTGCGCCAGTAGCTATAGTTCCAGATGAGGAACATATAGCCCAGAGACGCCGCCAGCACAAGCAGAGTGATTGTTACCAAAACCATTTTGCCAGCTATTGTAACAAGTTCCCAGCAGCAGCAATTCCGTTTGCCGAGTGTGGCTCGAGTTTGCACTGTCGACGTATTTATAGGCAGTAACTGTATCTGGTTCTATCTACTTCGTAGGTCAGTTTTCCGATAAGGTGAGTTGATAACATACAATCAATAAATTCTATTAGCTGCTGCAACTGCCAGCTAAACAGTTGAAATAAAGTTAATCAACATTTTTATAGCAGTTACTTTTCACTTATAATTCTAACTAGCAGAAATTAACCGCCTTTGCAAGTTGCGCTGAAATTGTGTAATTCTCCCCGTCTTTAGACTAATATCGATTGTCAGCGTGGGCATCTCCTAGTCGGCCACTCCCCACCAGAGCACTCTTAATAATTATATTGCAAAAAATGTTTAACTACTTTACACGAGCATTTCATTTTGCATTCAAGCAGCGATACAAGTGAACGTAATGACAATAATGATGTGGATACTACACACGTGCATATTTGATAGTTCATGTTAGGCACACCTAAATAGAACCGCGTTAAAATACATTGCAAATTAAAGCAATTTTTAAAAGACGATTAATTGCATTTACTTTGAACATTTAAGATATGTAGAAAGTCAAAAGCAATATGTATATCAATCGACCAAATTATAATTTTGTAAGCTATAATTTTTATACTTTGAACCCATTGAAAATGGGTAAAAAGGGTATATTGTATTTGTGCAAATGTATGTAACAGGCAGAAGGAAGCATCTCCGACCTCGTAAAGTATATATATTCTTGATCAGCATCAATAGCCGAGTCGATCTAGCCATGTACGTCCGTCTGTCCGTCTGTCATTCCGTCCGTCTGTCCGTCTGTCCTTATGTAAGAATGCAAGGTACTCAGAACCTATAAGAGCTAGAGAAATTTTGGCTGTAGGTCCTCCTAGTCCCCGCGCAGATCGAGTTTGCTTCCGATATTCGATAACTTGCCCCGTTTCCAAGTAATCGATATCGAAATCCTGTTTTTTGAGCAATTCCGGCAATTAATATGAGCTAGAGTCACCAAACTTGACATGTACCTTCTAGAATAGTATATATATATATCAAGTATCTTTAATTTTATACCTATCGCCTGTTGGAAGAAGAGGATTCAGGGTATCCCCTAGTCGGGAGCTCCCGACTAGAACCTCTTACTTGTTTAACTATTTAACGTGCTTTATTTTGCGCTGGAATGGATCCGTACCTTCTGATCTCTACCAAGCGAATGAATGAGGGAAGAAGGTAGAGTTACAAGTAGGTATCTTATATGATATTAACATAGAGGGATATTTACAATGCAGGGGAAGGAGGTATTTAAATGATTTGCTTTGGAAATAGGTCGGCGGGGTGTAGCCTTTGGTCAGCCAGGATGCTGCAGCAGCTTGTCGGATTAACGGCTGATAACGAAGTTTATCTGGTCTGCGACCTTTGTTAAATTAAAAATTAAATTAAGTAAGTAACTTTATACTAAACGTATTGTTCCACTCCGTACAGGGCGAGGAAATGCTGTCATTTACATTTTCGTATATACATATGTATTGTTTGCTTATCATACCCGACGTTTTTTATATATACATGTCCGCCTATACCCGACGTTTGGGGTCTGCCCCAAGTGAATTTTTGCTTTATCATGATTATAGGGGAAGTTTATATGGCCGCCTAGCCTTTCTTCACAGCTAATCGTTGTCAGTTAAAGTATTCAATTATTATTATTAGATCGGACCATTACATCATTTAGCGGCGATAGAGCAAATTGTTCAAAGTTAAAGCTCTTGTATAAAAAAACTTTATATACAGCCAAACTTAAAGCTTACGAGCTGTATCAGGCAGCACACAAATACGTCGAATCTTATCATATAAACAACGGACAACTGTATCATATAGGTCAATCGGTAGAAAAGTGAGTTTATTGTTATGGAGATATTTCATTTTTCCAAATAATTATCTTCACCACAGCCACGAGCTTCATACCGCATATCAACATTAAGAGCTAGAACCGTGAATTATATTCTCCAAGTTCATTTAATATTTGTCCTATCGAAGATAGCAGTTTTTTACTGTTTTTATTCTACAGCTCAATCAGGTGCTAAACATAAAGTGTGACACGAATCATCAACAAGCAATTGTGAGCCACAACTGAGTATATCATACATTAAGCTGTTAAATCGGAATAAAATGTGGTTGCCAGAATAGCTCTGCAGAAGGGGTTTTATTTGAAGCGCTATAGGTGCCAACAAGTAGTCAACAGGCTTTTTAAAATAAAATAATTAAAATAAGACAAACAAGATGAAAAAGAAGAATGACAATGATAAAGAATTGACTGGCTCGCGACAAATAGTATATAGCTCGGTTTGTGTGCACTTGGACTTTCAAAGCGCGAGAAACACTCCACATTTGGAGCCTCCAGTATTCCGAAGTGTTTGGAATAACAGAGCGACGACATTATATTATTATGTTATAGTTTATTTAAATTACTTCGATTTTGTTAGATGAAGTTAACTTAAGTGTAAATCAAGGTGATTTAATCACTTTATCGAGTAACGATTATCTCTCGTGCTTGATCTACTGACTCTCTGATCGATTTATCTCAAAGCAGAGGCTCAGACAGTTTTTTTTTTCTGCCCATTTGATTCTCGATTGTTGCTCGCTTGGCTACTTGCCGTATTTCCCGTATTATGCACAAATGCATCTGGGGATTTTATTAGAATTTAAAACAAATAGACATGATTCGATCAACGCAGCTCATCAAGCGAATAAAAAGTATTTACACTTTCTTAGATGGTAGATGTGCAGCAAAATATTATAAATAGCCTTTTTATCACTTTTCAATGAGTTCAGGATTTAATGAGAGCAACGGCTCTCTGCGGCGCTATTAGCACGAAAAGCCTTGCGACACTTTTTGCCGTTCGGAGAACTCAACGTGTTGTGTGCTTAGTGATAGAAGTTAGTCCCATTGTCTGCGCGATGCCATCAACATCTTGATTGCCAGTCACCAGGCCGCAAATGTGGCCAACAGGAGAGAGAGAGCCCAAAACGGCAGACTGAGCAGCCCAAGAGGCTTAACATAAAGTAATCTAATGGCAGTCAGTCCGTCGGTAAGTACTCCCAAGCCCTTACGCTGCCTGGAACGGACGATGCGCAAGGCGGCGACTTGCGAGCTGCTACCTTTGAGCAGGAGCAGGAGCAGGAGCTGGAGTTGTCGCTATTCCCAGGACGCAAATTATGCATTAAGCTGTAGAAAAATGCCGCATAATGTTATCAGGCGGGCGAGCCAAGGCAAGCCGAAAAGAGCCGAAAAGAGGAGCTGGAAAAATGCTGCCCCCCCGAAAACAAGCAGAGTCGGAGCTGAAGGTAAATGGTGACCAAGGTGATTTCCTGTGTCTTAGGTGTCTCTGCCAGATGACTCAACATAAACAGTTGCTAAAGCGAAAGCCGCAATCAAAATGTGTAAATTAGCACTTGATGCAACTGGGTCTGCCATTCCCATAGCAACTCCCAATCTGTCCCTGGCACGAGGCTGAGCTCGGCTTGGCACCGGGCGACAGAAGCTCGTGGTTTCACTTGTCAACGTCGACCTGTCGACTGTCAGGCTTCGCCATGTCGTTGGCCGACCTGTATTCATATATTTCATGGCAAATTGCAATTTCCACTTTAATCTCCGCTCTACTGTGGCTCAGACTAAAACTGGGCCACGCCCACGCCCACGCCCACTGCTCTTGTCAACGGCCGCAGCTTATAATTTCGTTTATAATTACATTGACAGCAAAAGCAAAACTCAAGTTGTAGCTGCAGCGGTTGCTGCTGCAGCAACATTTGCTGAAAATCCAGCAAAAAGTGCCCACCTGCAGGCGACGCTTTCCTAATTAGCCCAAAGTACAGCGCCAGCAAACCATTTCAATGTGCATGTGTGTTTGTGTGTCTGTGTATCTGTGGGTCTGTTTATCTGTGTGTGTCTCTGCGTCATGGGGCACGTGGTAATTCGTTATTTCTGGCCATCAGCCCTCGGGCTAATTTGAGGCATCTGCCATTACCACTGGGTATGGGTCAACTGTCAACTGGCGCACATTGCTTTGCATATTGAATATGAAACTATTTTCGATAGCAAGTCGTACAAATTATTGACAATAAAGTCAGTTATATTCTGTATTTTATTAAGACAAACTTATATACTTTCCGTGCTATGTTGTATTAACCAATAATAAGTTAAGATTAATTGTAATTTGCAAGAGAAGAGAGTGAGAGAGAGATTGTGGGGAAGAAATGGAGAAAGAAAGAGAGACTCTCTACCTCCAATTGATATCAAAGATCTTTGTTCAAATTTATTTGAGGGGTGTTTCACACTTTTCGAAAAATCCATTCCTCCTTGGTGGAAATGAAGGTCGAAAATTTGGTGACAAATCATTTGACACGCGTTTCACATTTTTCGCAAATTCAAGGTTTGCTCGGTAGAAAAGCGATTCAAAGATTTTTTGGGGCATTTTTAAGTTTTGTCCAATTTGCTTCAAACGTATTTTCATAGCTTTATATAAGAATCAAATGAATACGTGTTTTAGCAATTTGGGAAATTTCACCCCAAAAATGGTAAATTGTTGGAAAACGATTGTATGAAAGTTTTTTTGTTTTGAGATAATTTATTTTATACATATCATGGGCAAGGCCAGGCAATACCCGCTAGTAGCTTATATTACTCTTGCTTAATATTAACACTAATAGTTTTCTTATTGAAAGGTTTTAGTCTAATTTAGACAAGGTAATGGCAACAATGCCTATTAACTGAGACCTAGTGACATCTATGCACAAAGCTTGGCAGTTCAGTCGACGTCCTTGGTCAAGTTAACATCGAGGCAGTTGTATTAACACGACACCAGCTAACACCTGCTTGAGCTGAGAAGTTGGACGTAAGCATAGAAGATATACAACATTGCCTGGCTAAGACCAAGATGAAATAACCTCAATAACGTAAGTTGCATTGAGGACCCCTGTGGACCAATTTAATTACTGAAAGTCTAAGTCAAGGTA